CTTGTTGGACAAGAATTCCCCAACTGGCATATCAAGGAGTTACCATATCAACTTGATGAAATTATCATTCTGGAGCTCACCACCAAAGATGAACAGGTTCAATTGGGGTTACAATCACGTTAAACGGCTTCAATGGAAACTTAAACATGTCCAACTTTACCAAAACACTACATGCACATTGAATTTGAGCCACAAAACCTAAAAAAATCTCTCTATCAAAGCTCCAACAATGGTGTTAAAAGAAAACTTAAACATGTCCAACTTTACCAAAGCACTACATGCACATTGAATTTGAGCCACAAAACCTAAAAAAATCTCTCTATCAAAGCTCCAACAATGGTGTTAAAAGAAATTCTATGTTTTTCCCACAAAAGCTTATTAAGAATAGAGTTTAAAGAGGTATTTATAGACAAGAGAGTCCTCAAAATATTTAGAGAAGTTATAAAAACGTTATAGGAGGTCGCAAGGAGTTTGGTGCAAAAAGGAAACAACCGTTACCAAAAACTAAAATTCCACACATATCAAGAGAAGAGTGACCATTTGGACTTTTCCGGCAGTTAAAAACCACAAATTCCGACAAGTGCGTCCTATCGCAAATAAAGGGATTGATCAGACTTTTCCAGACTTCAAAGGAAACTCATCCAAGAAAGTGCGACTGGTTGAAAAAGTGGGACTGGTCGAACTTTACCAAATTTTAAATTTATCAATAAAAACCTATGTTTCCCTAAGTCCTAACCAACCAAACTTAAAATATAAAGTGTCCTCACTCACATACCTATTCCAATGACCAAGACACATGGTAAACCAAAAATTACAATTAGATTGACAAATTTTGACGTCCAACTTCGCCAACATAAAATTAAATGTCTCACACATTGGTTTAATATGAGTTTGTCACCCTTAAAAGTAGATATAATGGTTAACTTTCTTCTATTGATCCTAATGTTTAAAGCCTTAAGGAATAAAGTGGAGTTCATATCACCACCTTCCAAATGTTAAATCCTTATTTTTGGCTAAATAATTGATCTTTTACTCTCCTCATATAAGTAAAAAGATACTTATCCTAAATTTTGAGTCTTTATAAAGAGTATCAGCATGTAGCAGCTTCTAACATTGAAACAAATCCTCTATGGCTTTGGTTATTCTTGTTAATGTCACTAAAGCGTTTCTTGTTAGTGGTCTTTAACTAATGCCTCAATAGCTTTAATTTTTACACCAATTGATACATAGAACAACCCATGATAGTGGTGCTACTTACCTCGGCAACTATAGGAGAAAAAATCATGCTCAACCTAGAAATTAAAGAACTAGTTTTCCTTTTAGATGCGGACGAGCTTGCCTATAATAGATGAATGGTCAAATGCATGTGAAAGAAAACAGTGGACATAAGGAAGGTAGAGGTCTAAGAACTGTTAATAATAGCCCTACAAAACTTCCTTAAGATGTTGACATAAACTAGGCATTTATTAGTTTAAAAATGAAAATTTTCTAAAACTTAAGGTCATTTAATTATTAGTTTAAAAATGAAAATTTTCTTAAAAGCATGGCATAACATCATTTACATCAAGTTCTCAAACAAAACTTCACGTGCATCAGATTATGGCATTTTGGTCCAATATACATGTTCATGTTACCAATTACAAAATGATCAACCATAATTTCAAATAAAATGGGGTCAGAGGGGTAGAAATCACCTAGGAACACTTAATTAACATACTTTGGTTGTCAAGTCATTTCCCCCTTCCTAGATTAAGGTTTTCTACATAATAAGAGATCAGATTACAACCAATATTCAAGATAAGTACAACATATATCTAAATTACATCAAAAGAGATCAAAATGTCCAAAAATAAATCTCGTGTCCGTAAAAAGTCTAGGTGCCACTAAGTGGCGTGCTCCTTATTTGTAAAATGTTGGGGTGAGCAAACTAGCTTAGTAAATGATACGGTAACCAAATTAATCAACGGTCATATAAGTCGTGCAAATAGAGTATATATAACAAGATGCTACGAGACATGCACCTTAATTTCTAGTTAACATCGTAATCAACCTTCTATAATTCACAATGTAAGCAATAAGTAACTTATATGACTTTAAAAACATGAATTTACCTTATCATCAACGACAAGTACATACGAGCAGATAATCAAATCAACAACCACCAAATGTAATTTACATATTAAATTCATAACTTGCAAATACGATTTACAATCCAAATCACAAACTGTTTCGAAATCATATAACGGGGATTTATGGTAACACACATAACCGAGTATGTGACGTAACCCCACTCCCTTACCTTGCTTTACAGGATACTAACCCGACGGGTTGCGACATCCGCTTTACCAAGTTTTGGGCCTTTCACCCTAGGTCTCTGGGCCTTCATGCTTACTTGATCCAATCCACAAAAATCCACATTCAAATTCCACACCACAAGGTACCACGTATTCACAAGTAACGCAATTAAAGCATGTTAGGATACAATTTAATCACATATACACAACTCAAAAACTATGGATTAAAAGAATTAACACACCCTCACCTCAATAAGTAAACTCTAGCTTTGCCATCGAATTCAAGTGCTCCAAATCAAAAATCCAAACCGGTAGAAATGTGAAGAATCACGAGGAGATCAATTCTTTCTTATGAATTCTACAAAATTAAAGTGCTTTGCCCTTAAATCTTAAAGCGAAGTTCGAGTGAAATGTAGGTGCAATTGGTGTGACCCTCCTTGCTTCTCCCTTTCTTTTATATTATTACTTATTTACAAACTTAAACTCACACTTTTCATCAATTTGATCCTTGCTCCTAGCAACTTTGAAAAAATTACCAAATGGCACTCCCCCTTTTCACTCTTTTCAAAATCATCACGAAACACAAGAAAAAGAAAAAAGTGGGATCCGGTCTCTACAGATCAGATCTTAGGAAAAACCCAGTGATAGTTTCAATGAAACCTTCTAGCAATGACTCTATACCAATTCCCATTTGCCAGATCAGATTTACTATGAATATGAGATAAATTTATGTGTTACTACAAAAAGACAACACCCTAATTGTTATGGACATTAGATTATATTGATAATATTTATTTTGTGCTGTCTTCCTATAATTTTATTAGAGACTATGCACATTAGTTTTTTTTATTAAATAAGCTATGATCAAAATACACTATCTAACCAAAACCATAGTTGTTTTTGCTCATCTTCTCTTAATCCATGGCAGATGCATTAGTACTATTTGCTTCATCACCTTCAATTGGGTCTTACAAATCTTACAATAAAGAAAATTCTTCATTCTTAGTTTTTTAATCTGTAGTTTTGGGGATAAAATTAGGAGAAATCATATTTGTTTGATTTTATTAGTGGAAATTTTGTTGATTTGCTCCATGAATTTTGTTGATTTGCTCCATGATTTTAATCTTTTCACAGGAAGGTTTTCCAAGTAATTTCTTTAGAATAATGATTAATGCATTCCTTTTTTATTTGTAAATTTTACTCCTCTTTTTTTTTTTTTCTCTCTCATTTGCTCTCCTTTAATTTTGTTCTGGTAATATTTGTTTAGTTGAGGGGCTTGAGTTAGTTGAGGGGCTTGTGAATTATTTTCCAGGCCCAAAACTATTTAGCACCTATCACAAACTCTTTATTACAAATATGTCTTACATTATAAGATGCTTCAATAGCTCAATGAATTAGTGTTTCCTATAAATTTTAGAGTGTCAAGTTTCGACCATATGCATCTAGTAATCTAACTTTTAACACTTTCTGCCTTAAAATAAAATATAAAAAAATCACAAATATGACTTACACAACGGATTTACATTCAATGTAGAAGACTTCACCTGATTTAGAGGGAAACGTGTGTACCACTTCCTAAAAAGAAAATTTTAAATCTTCAAATTCAACTGTGACAATCCTCCAAGGATGTGAAAAAAGTCTTACGAACAAAAATGAGATTTGAATGTGAGTGAATCACAAGACATACAGATTGCTATTTTCTTACAAAAATGATTTTGTGTTTTTCGTTATGCAGTTTTTGAACTAGGTAATGCTTTTAACTTCTTTCTTGGTTCCTTATTCTTCTCTTCTTTTGAGATTGAGAAATAGTATTTAGCAGAATAGTATTTCATCATTCAGAAATTTTTGTTTAGAATACCAAAACTTTCATCTCATTGTGTAGGGATGAAAGTTTTTATTATTTTCATTTTTATCCATTTTTTTTTATATAGAATTTTTCATTTTATTCATTTCATTTTTATCTTTCCTATATCTATATTTAAACACTTTGTGATCTCTTTATGATGACCTACTAGATTTTACAAATTTAGGATTTGATATCAATGAACCAGAGACTCAATAGTTTATCATAAGTAATCATGAGACATGATTATCTTGAAGCCAATTCTAAAAAAATGCAAGAGTGGTGATATCTGGACCAAGCTCCAGTCTAAAATGCGGGCACAGAGATTTAAACTTTGAAATCCTTCAATGCATTGAAGTGGGTTAACGTGAGTCTCACTTTAATGCATTCAAGAATCTTAAATCACTCTGTCTACCTATTCAGCCGGATTGTTAGATCTAAAGATGCCTTATTTAAAACGAACTCACTTCAATACATCCAAAATAATAAATCACTAGAACTATCTGTTCCGCCGGATTGTTAGATCCAAAAATCCATTACTCAAAATGTAATCACAATCAATCATACAATTCTGTGTCTTTGGCTCAAAAATGTAATGACCATTAGCTATTTCAACATTGATGATGCAAAACATGCAACCAAATTTTTACATTGGTGCTGCTAAACATGCAAAAAGGAATATGGTAGATAGAAGTCTTCAAATGAGGCTCAATGAAGACATGAGAAACAAGAAGTTTTAGGTTTAAAGGTTATGTTCGTCTACATAAAATTGGAGCCTTAGAATTTAAATTTGTGGAATTTGAGAAAAACAACTTAAAAAATTGAACCAAAATTTTCCCAAATTCCATACAGCCGAACACACCCTAAGTTCAATTTCATAAATCTTATTTGAATCTAATATCTTATTAGGCTTTAGTTTCCCCATTCTGAGTGAGTACCTGGACCTAATAGAAATAGGAAAAATCTAGCAACCCTATCCATCCTTAATTCAAGCAAATTGAGCTCCAGAGAACTACATATTGTTTACGCTATTTTAGGAGGTAAAACTCTATAGATTCTAAAGTGAGAAACCTTCTACTTAACTTTTGGTTTAACTTCAACACAAACTCCATAACTGAAATCAATAGAAAAACTTTTCAACAAACATCATCCTCTTAACCATGAATCTACCAGAATTTCATCTCCAAAACTACCACAGAACTTAATGGTAAACAACATAATTATGATTTTATTTGTGTTTGTATTACAATAACTAAAGTGTCAAGACTACCAGAGAAGGTGCTTCGCACTTGTCCAACATCAGCCAATTTCTTCATGTACCTTCTCACATGCATCTTTCCTGCAGCTAAATCTCGAGTTGTGGGAGTTGATCAGTCCAGAGCTAATACTGGAAAAAGGATTATTGGTAGTTATGTTTCCAAGTATAAAAGAAAATGCAAAAAAAAATACACTTCACACACACACACAGGTTGCCAAATGTTACTACCACTTGGCCTAATTTAGATTTAGAAGAAGACAACAAAAGATGAGTCCAACAAAAAAACTTCTATGTTAAATGTTGAAAATTATTTTGTATATATGTAAAGACTACCACAAAAACATGCATATATGTCAAGACTACCAGAAAAGGTGCTCCAACATCAGCCAAAATCTTCATGTAGCTTCTCACATGCATCTTTCCTGCAGCTAACTCTCGAGTTGTGGGAGTTGATCAGTCCTGAGCTTATACTGGAAAAAGGATTTTTGGTAGTTATATTTCCAAGAAAAAAAATAAAATGCAAAAAAAAAAACTACACTTCAACCCCTACACACACACACACCTACACAAACGCGCACAGAAATTGCCAAATGCTACTAACACTTGGCCAAATTTAGATTTAGAAGAAGACAACAAAAGATGAGTCCAACAAAAAAAACTTCTATGTTAAATGTTGATAATTATTTTGCTTTTCATCATTAATGATGCTATCATATGAAATTCCTGTTTAAAGGTTCAGAAACTCATGCACACTGCACATAGACACAAAAACATGCATATATGTCAAGAATAGAGGTATTCTTTTGACTATAGTTTGTATCAGCATGAAATCTGTGACCGAGCGATACAACAACATCAAAGAGGATCATCATCAGCTGCCAAATCCGACTTCGGAAGTCAAGGTAATCTCTCATAACCAATCCTCTATTTTGATTCACAAGTTCTAACACAACAATAGAAGCAAATGTAAATAATTTATGCTTCATCTCGCAATCAACATGACATTTAGCATAAACAAAACCTAGGAGAAACCCTAGTTACAGTATTGCGTGTTTTTTATTCATTTGTTTTTCATTTTTTTCCCTTAAAGTTTTAGTTATTTATTATTATCTTTTGAAGACTGCTAGAGATTTCAATTTTATCTTATTTTGGTCTTAAAAGCCTAAATTAAAAATACAAAAAGGAGAAGCCTACCATGCCATATACATCTTTTGGTCATACCGTCATGTACATGATTCCGAGTGATTTTATCATAGTCTTAACTGGAAGTGCACACAAAGAATGCCTGAGTCTTCATCCCAACTTTCAAAATTTATCTGCATAAAAAATACTCATGTCAACAACACAAGGGAACTTATTGTGCAGTAAATCTACACTATAGAAGGTAAATGTGGGCATTTTGAAGAATTGAACTGGAAACTCATAATAACTAAACTTCCATTATCTATATTCATTGTTTCTATCATTATTTATTCCTTCTACCCCTATGAAGCAACTTCTGGTCAACCACTCTGCATTGCCTGATACATGATAGATTGATGATAACAGTACTCTAAATGTATGAAGATTTGCTAAAAATCTAAGTTTTTCTAAATCCAGTAAAACTAATAAAAGAATGCTCGTTTTCTTCTAGTATCACACAGTTGACAAAGAACATAATAAATTACTTGCACATTCAAAATACCATTCATCATATTTGGATACATATCTCATCTGTTGTATTTTTATTTGATTGTCAAAAAAGTTGCTATTTTGTTTGAAACCTAATCTTGTATACAATGTCATGATAATCTATGTTGGTCGGTATTTAGAACACATTGGAAATTGGCTCGTTAATTACAGCAATCCAGATTATTTATATCTTTTATCGTACTCGTAATTTATAGTTCATGCAAATCATTTTTCTGTAGCTCCAGGTAAATGATTGTATTAATCAAGATAGCTGTCCTTCTAAATTTATGTGGAGCTAATTTTACGTTCCAATGGTGCTAAAATAATTGACCAAATATTATCTGCAGGATATGCATTCGAATATATGGTTCATCAATTGATTGTCTATTAATGATCATCTTTTACAGTTAATCCTCGTTTGAAATTCAATTAGGTAATTGATAAAGTGTCCTTTGCAATCACTTAAACATACAAAACAATAAAGCAGACATTCAATATCTTTTAACTCTTTCAGGGAAAAATCAGTGTCCTAGTCAAGGCATATCAAAATTCACTGTATGAGAAAGAAATTATAAACTAAATTAATAGACTCTAACCCAAGAATCACCTAGACCCTCCCAACTTGGTTCTTGATCCATCGACAGACTCGCTCCTCATGAAATCTACTTCTCCATGGACTTCTTATCTCCAATCACTAGTGACATCAGGTCAACTTGTTCCTAATGAACCATAAGGTAATCGCTCTGATAGAGAAAATCAATGAATCAATTCTGCTCCTTGCATTGATTTTCTCAATCACATATTGTATGTAATCTATGAAGAACCTTAGACTTATTCTCAAAGCTTTCTCTCTGAAAATATAAATTCTCTCAATTATATCTAAAGAGTTAAAAGCACTTCTAAGAGATACCCTAAACTGACTGTAACCCCATATTTATAGCCTGTGTGGGAAACCTATGTACTATGGTAAATAAAATCCTTTTAAGACTCTGATTTGAGAGAACTAGATAAAAGTGTGTCTGCAGGGTTCGATCAATCAAACATTCAATCGAGCACCACTGGACAAAAACATTTTTCCAGCAAAATCTCGATCAATTGACCATTCAATTGAGGTTTACTATATTCTTAGAATCCCTATTTTGAAAATCATTTTTCAAAAAATTCCAGTTTTGATAAACAGGATTAAAACAATATTATGAGCCTTCTAAATATCATATCTAAGTTATCATTTGTCTCTATAATCTTAACATACCTTAACCTAGATATGTGATTGAGCTTGAGAGATTTTAGGCATGTTCTTCGCTGATCATCTCCATCATCTTCGAAGGTTGTAGTGAATGACTCCTGACACTGTGACACGCTAAAAACCAAGTTTTGAGTAAAAAATTGCCAAAACATTAGGCTTTTTTTGTTTCGAGAAAGAAAGGCAAAAAGACTCAAAACTACATAACTTATATGCTCCTAGTGTACTCATAGAGAAATTACTTTCTTTAGATGACTTTCAACTGAACCTGATTGATTCAGGTTGATTGTGCATCTCCTTTTAGAGAATAAGGTCCAAAAATAATTCTACCAAACTAGAAGATAAGGAACTTGTTTGTTGGTGACTGCACCTAGATTGTTTCCCATATCAACTACCTCTGGGAGGACAATTTTTCCTTTCTTCTCTTCTCTACCAATCTCGAAACCTTGACCTAGCACTTGGGAGTTAAGATCCAAAGCCACTAGGACAAAGGTAGACCTGTTTGGGAAGACAATTTGTAAAATATAACTAAAAATGTGCTATCCAAGCATTTTGTTCGGCCACAAGTGAACTATCTTTTGATGGAATATGGGAAAAAAATCACACACCAAACAAGAACTTCAAGGATAATAACAAAATAACCATGATTTTAAGTTGCTAAGGTCATGATTGTTCAACCATGTGCCCGAGATCATCCAACATTATGTTAATTCTATATCTAGCCAGCACTTACTTATATTGCCAGATAATTATTAGTTGCATACTTTGGAGAAAAAGTAGTTCTTCCCTAGGATGATTGCAATCAACCATCCTAAACTACAATAACATGAGATGAATGAAACAGAGACTCCAAATCATTTAACATAAAGTGATAAAGTGACCAAGATCCTCTTGCAACTGAAATCCATCACCATTGTTTAAGTGTGCTACGGAAAATCATGCAGCAGAAAGACTAGATACCTGAGGTCAAAGAGTAAAACCTATCAACTATAGCAGAACAATCATAAAACTGCAGCAGAACGCTAATCGGGGACAAAGTTAAACACAGAGCCAGAGATAACTAGCTACGTGAGAAACATCCAGCAAAATGAAACCTAGCAATACAATTGTTTATATCCAAAGCAAAAAATCTCAAGATTAAAAAGTTCCATCAATCCAGAGTTGGAAACTCTACATACAGATTTCCACTATGGGACATTAAAATCATTTTTAGGCTCATTATTGTAAAAACAATTATATGGATAAACGCGTCTAACATTTTAGTTATAAAAAATTTCATCATAAAATGCATTTTCTGCATAAATACAAACATAACAGTTACACTACAATCATGTAACATCTCAATCAGCATAACAAACAATTAATGAGAATAAGATGCACGGAAAAAAACATTTAGAACAAAATTTGGGAGGTAAATTTGGACATTTCTACCTCATATAATTTAGACTAAAAGCCTCATCAAATGCTACAGAGTTCCATGTTCACTAAAGTGCTCTTCCGTATTTCTGTCTAAACCTTTCCATTAAAGTCAATAGACAAGCTTTCTATATATCTGTCTAAACTTTTCCATTAAAGTCAATAGAAAAGCTTCAAAAAATTAACTTGAGCTAAAATAGGTTCAAATTCATAAAGTTTTGACATGTGTAAGAAAATCTGTCATTCCCATGCAAAAACAAGAAAAAAATCTTTTAAGCATAGTTGCAGGGATGAGTGATGCTCTGTCTTGCAGGAAGCTTATGTTTTATCTTTAGAAACACTAGAATTTTTCTTGTGATTGCATGCACTTTTAATAGTCTGTCTCTTTCTCCTGCCCAAAAACGTGTCGGGCAATTAGCCCGCTACATTATTAACTCAGCTTTGATATGAAATTTTTAACGAACCTTACTAAGGGAAGGTGATGCTCAGATATGCATGAGATTTTAGGTGGAACCGTAATGAAACTACACAGCATTATTAGAATTGATGCTCCATCTCTCAAATATCAACAGGAGTTTGATCTGATCTGATCTGATGATGAGGGTAAATTGTAATTCCTTAGGGTTGTTCTTGTGGACAGGAGACAAGGAATGTATGGATCCCATGCCAAGAGAAGCAGAAAACCTATCATCTCCAGTATATTTTCTGTTTGCAATAAGCAAGGCATGAGCTAATGCCCTTTGTTTGCATTTGCAGAAGAATGCATGGGAGTCCCAAAACAAATACATCTGATGTTAGTGAGAAGCACCAAAGAGGACCACAAGTCTCAAGCTTCAACATTAATCCATTGAAAGATAGCTCGTTTGTCTAGTGTGCTAGAATGTTACAGGCTAAAGCCTTCCCGTGAAGGAATTCATCCAAAAAATGGAGGAAGTTTTCGTCTTTATTAACATATTATGGATTACATACTACTTTCAAAAGGTAACAGATTAAGTAGAAGACTACTTGTAAATGAAAGAACCAGGTTATTAACTCAACTTTGATTTGAAATTTTATACAAACATAAACAAATGAAAGTGATGCACAGATCAGCATGGGACAGTAGGTGGAGCCACAATGAAAATGCACACAGCATTATCAAAATTGATGCCCATTGTCCAGAGGAAGACAATGGTGTTTGATCTAATAAAGCACGATAGATAGTACTTCCCTGTGGTTGTTCTAGTGTCAACATATAGATGTCATGCCCCAAAAAGAAAAAATCAATATTTTCTGTCTACAAAAGGCAAGGCTCAAGCTAATGCCCTTTTGTTTGCATTTGCAGAAGAATGAACTGGAGTCATCGATCAAATACGTCAGATATAAGTAAGAAGCTCCTGATGGGTTCCAACTTTCAAGTTCCAACATGATTCCATTCAAAAATAGTTCGTTTGTCTTTACCAATCAGTGCAGGAATGTTGCAAACTAAAGCATTCAAACGAAGGAATTATGGACTACTTCCAAAAGGGAAGAAAATTTTGTGACGCACTGGTTAACGTAGTCCCAAAGAGCAAAAATCAATATTTTCTGTCTACAAAAGGCAAGGCTCAAGCTAATGCCCTTTTGTTTGCATTTGCAGAAGAATGAACTGGAGTCGTCGATCAAATACGTCAGATATAAGTAAGAAGCTCCTGATGGGATCCAACTTTCAAGTTCCTACATGATTCCATTCAAAAATAGTTCGTTTGTCTTTACCAATCAGTGCAAGAATGTTGCAAACTAAAGCATTCAAATGAAGGAATTACGGACTATTTCCAAAAGGGAAGAAGATTTTGTGACGCACTGGTTAACGTAGTATGGATTCCGGACTACTTCTAAAAGGTAACAATTTAGTAACAAATGAAAGTATATGAAAACATGAAAGGACAATAAATTTAACATCAGCATTTAAGCTCACCCTATGATTTTTACACGAATAAAATGTAACTAGACTATTATTAGTTGATGCAATGACACATTATCCTTCTTTCCACAATGTAGATCAACACCCACTCCTTTGTAAACTTGTGTTAAAAGGCATCCACATACTTGAAAGAAAATCTGAATAAAAAATATAAGTTTCTATTTCAAAAGAAATTACCTGGAGGAGCAAAAAACTTCCTAGTTTGTCCAGTCCGAGAAGAAGAGGAGGCAACTAGAGAAGATGTCTCATGTTTCACATGCATAAGAAATCTCTCTTTCTCTGCGGACATGGTGCTTTGAAAATTTAAGGATTTAAGAGATTTGAGAAGCAAACGCGGAAACATATACCACGTCTCACATATCCAGGAAATTTGTCTACTCAACGTGGTTAACTGCTGACTCTCGGGACGCATCTCTGAAGCTACGACTTGTATCCTGAGATTAGGTGCCAATGAAAGTTCAGAACAAATTCAAGCGCTTTAATTCTTCATTATTCAGATCCAGCTACAACATAGAACATATAAATATTACGGCTGGAGCCCACGAAAAAAATAGAAGAATATATAATTACAGTCCTTCCATGCCTATGCATATCTCCCATTCTGCTTCTACAAATGTTGTACATTTATGCTTGGTTATTACCATCATTTCGTACAGCACCTTGACTTAGATCTTGTTGGTGTTGATGAAAAATTGCCCAATCCCACAAAAGCAGCAAATAACAAAACAAGCACAATCACACAATTCACAAAGAAAACAAGATTTATGCAATTAGACAGTGTGTCCCCATCTAGAAAGGAGTCAACAATCCATTACCTAGAGTATTTTAAGGCATTACAAGAGCACTCAATCTCTCTTGCTCTCTCTCCTCACTAAGAGCCTAGTTATAAACGATACAACCAATTTCAGATCAGAAAACAAGGACCTGAAGCTTGAACAATTGTCCACTTGATCAATCGGGAGCATACTGGACCGTGCTCAAATCGTAGACCTTTCCCTCCATCAGTTGAGCACTTATTGGTGCTAAACGACTAGTCGGGCCTTTACCTCTGAGAATTATAGGACCACATTCCTAGGCTCTAATGTAGAGTAGCACAAGGGTCATGATCTAGACCCAAAGGGAGAGTGAGTGAATAGGTCTAGAAAGCTAAACTAACTAAAAATACCTCTTTTTTAACTCAATTTAACAATTATTCAAAAATTAAAGTAACACAATAACAAATAATCCACTCAATCCATCAGAATAATATCATTAAAGTGAATGGCTCTATGATCTTGTCGCCCGAATTTGGTTCCGGGTCGCAACGTGGCCTGTTTTCGACCCAAGTAGCCCACACAAAGCTCATGGGGTTCAGGGGCAGTGTCCGGGAAAAAAAAAAAAAAAAAAGTTTTGATCTACTTTTTCTTATGGGTCGTGGACCCTGATTAGCACTCTCTTATAGCCCGATATATAAGGGCGTTTAGTGTTTGGAGTGGGATATTGAGAACACAGAAAATCGCAAAAGAGAGTGGGAGTGAGAGCGAGAACTAGGGGCTGAAACTTGTAATTTTTGCACAGTGAACCTTTAGTAGGATTTGCACCGTGGACATAGACACGACTTGTGCCGAACCACACTAAATCTTTTTGTTCTTTGTGTGACGTGTTTATTTTTTGTCTTGTTTCTTGATTGTTACTTGGTTCGTGGTTGTTTGTCGTAACAGGCTCAATGAACACATAGATCTTTTATGTAGAAAGCCCAAAGGGAAATAGTATAAACAGAACAAATCCAACATACGAGAAAGAGACTTGCAACTAGGTTAGCAGTTTCCAAACCCTAAAATCCCTAGTTACCTAGTGACACAGACCAACGCCAAACTCTCCACTCAAGTCTCCAAGCCGCCTATCCGCTCCCCATGGGAGCCGCTTCTCCACAAACAAATTGATAATTGGTGCAAACATCCAATCCATTCTCTATAAGACTACCCAGAATGTGTTGAACTCACCATAGGCACAGCAACAATAGATAGTGAACACATATATGCTCACTCACAAGGGATAGAGCCAAGAGTTTATTTCATGAGGGGCACATTGAACATGATAAAATAGAAACCTTTTTTTCAACCAACATGACAACTAACTAATTCACCAAAAAAACATTACAACTACCAGTGCAGCAAGACAGTAAGCCAAAATATAAAAGTGCAGTAACATTAGGGGTGGCAATATTTGACACAACGTGCTAAGACGACACGGGTAAGTGGGTTTGGGTTTGGCTTAATCGTGTTCGGGTCGTAATCGTGTCGACCCGAATTGACATGGTAATTAAACATGTCGTGTTCATATTTGACCCACCAACCCGATTATCCTGTTTAACTAAACGTGTTGTGTTTGTGTCAAAAATGACCTATTTAGCTAAACATGTCGTGTTCGTGTCAAAAAAGACTTAAACGTATCTTGTCATGTCATTTCGTGCCATGTCAAATCTTGACCCATTTATTAAATGTGTTAATGCCTGTCGTGTCGGGTTATCGTATAATAATCGTGTCGAGATCGTGTCAAGGATTATTCATGTCATGTTCGTGTCGGCCCATTTAACTAGATACCCATGTCTTGACACGACACGAACACGACCACGACCCGCCAATACGAATTTCCACCGCTAAGTAACGTTCAATAATCAAGATTCAAATAGTATGGCGCTATTCGCGAAAATTCAAATATATAAAATACAGATATTAAGTAATAAAATTAAAGAAGAAGAGGAAAAAAAAAAAAATTAAGAGAGAAAAAAGGTTATTGCACATGCATCATACTTTAGGGCAAGGATGATAAATTTTAAGGAAAAAACAAAAAAACAAAAGAAGAAGATAATAAAACGAAAAGAAAAAAAGGAGAACTTTGAAGGGGGAAAAATAGGGTTTGATTGAAGCTAGAGATTTCAAAAAAAAATTTGAACCAAATCAAAGAAATTTGAAGAAGAAGATAAAGAGTAAGTGAATAAATTTGAAAATGGAATGTTCTTTTTCGGCATTCTTTTCAAGATTGGGAGTTAGAAGATGTGAGCATTTTCTTGGATCAATTGTATCAGCAGGAAGGAATTGGCAGGGGTTATGACAATTTGATTTGGATTCCCTCTTCTCATGGTCATTTTGAAGTAAGGTCTTTGTTCTTATGTTTGTCTAATTTTGCACCCTATGATTTTCCATGGAAGACCATATGGCGCTCTATGGCTCCTACTAGGGTGGCTTTTTTTGTATGGACCGCCGTTTGGGGTAAGATTCTGACGATCGATAATTTGAGGAAAAGGAGAAATTATTTTGTTAATTGGTGTTGCATATGTAAGCAAGATGGGGAGTCAGTCGATCATCTCCTAATGCATTGTTCTGTAGCACACGACTGCTGGAATCTTATTTTTGGGCTATTTGGCATGTATCGGGTAATGCCACGTTCTACTAAGGAGCTGATTCATGCTTGGAGAGGTTGTCATGTGAGTAGGAGTATTCGTGATTATTGGAGATCTGTACCACATTGTATTTGGTGGTGCATTTGGAGGGAGAGAAATAGTAGAATGTTTGAAGGAAAGGAGTTGTCTACAGCGACACTGAAACTTTTTATTATTCGATCTCTCTTCAGTTATGTGAACAGAAGTTCTTGTTCCTTTTCTGATGATTTAATTTCTTTTTTGGATTTTTGGGGCCTTAGATCCTGATTTCTCTTATGTCTACGGGACGCGTTCCCCTATTGAACGCCTTTTTTTTAATTTATTATTACTTATCAAAAAAAAAAGATAAAGAGTAATTGAATAGAAAGGAATAACTAGAGAGAGTTTTACAAGGTAGGAATCTAGAAGGGCATTTTGTAAAATTTCACAAAATAACATACATAAAAGAAAAAGAAGAAGAATAGGAAGAATAAGAAGAAAGAATTCAATTAGGTTTTACTGGTTAAGTAGTTATGGAGAGGTTTGTCATTGAGCAGGATCAATTATGTAGGAGAGTAATGGCAACAAGTATGGGTGTTTGAGCGAAGTGTAGGGTTTTTGGTGCTTCTCTCAGTTGAGTCCTCCGAGCTCCGTAAAAATGACTAAGAGAACCAAGAAGGCGGGTATTGTTGGGAAGTATGGTACTCGTTATGGGGCTAGTCTGCGGAAGCAAATTAAGAAGATGGAAGTTAGTCAGCATAGCAAGTACTTCTGCAAGTTCTGTGAGAAGTATGCAGTGAAAAGGAAGGCTGTTGAAATTTGGGGATGCAAAGATTGTGGCAAGGTCAAAGCAGGTGGTGCTTACACATTAAACACTGTAAGTGCTGTGACTGTTAGGAGCACACTTCGAAGGCTGAGGGAGTAGACTTAGAGTTAAATCTGCATAAAAATGTGGAATGAGGCATCCTTGGTGCAAACTTCTTTAGAATGAATGGGATTTCTATTTTCAATTTTGTCATTTGGTTAGATACTCAGTTGCAGAACTTTCGATATTGAATCAAATTTTAGCTGTTAATGGTGAAAACTCATTTATAAACCACTTGATGTCCTTATCTTGTTGGTCTATGGAGTAGTGGGCATATGATACATTCAGATGCTCCTGATTAGTATATTTTTAAGCAGTGTTTTTCTATCCAAAAAAAAGTAGCATTTTGATTTACCCAAAAAAACAAGTATGGGTGTGGGTGCAGTGGTTGGATTACAATGGACGAGAGGAGGAGTTCAAGTATCAACTTGTTCATTAGGATCAGGTGTGCAGGCCTATTCCGTTGGGAGGTCTAGGCATTAGAAGGTTGGCCCCTTTCAACAGGGCTCTTCTGGGAAAGTGGTTGTGGAGATTCGGAAGTGAGCGCCATCGTCTTTAGAAGAAGGTTGTGTGCCGCTACGGGGAGGAGAGATGTGGTTGGTCCTCTAATCCGGTTAGAATCGCTAGAGGTGTGGGTGTTTGGAAATTCATTCATAGGGGATGGGATGAATTTTCTAAGCATATTAGATTCAGAGTACGGGATGGCAGAGGAGTTCGGTTCTGGGAGGATTTATGGTGTGGTGATCGCCCGTTGGCTCGTTCCTTTCCTAGAATTTTCCGGATTGTCGTGGATAGACATGCTTTGGTGGCCGACTATTATCGGCTCAATAACGGTAGGCTCGCGTGGGATGTGCGTTTTCAGCGTTCCTTTCAGGATTGGGAGATGGATGAGGTTGCAAGTTTGTTGGAGCTGTTGTACGAACAGAAGATAGATAGTAGTAGCACTGACTATCTGGTTTGGGTGCTTTCTTCTCAGGGGAGATTCGAGGTTTGTTCCCTATTCCAGTCTCTCTGATTTTCATGGTTCTAATTTCCCTTGGAAGACGATATGGCGCTCCAAGGCTCCCCTCAGAGTGGCCTTCTTTGCATGGACTGCTGTTTGGGGCAAGATTTTGACCCTGGATAATTTGAGGAAGAGAAGACAGATTACAATCAATTGCTGTTGTTTGTGCAAGAGGAATGGCGAGTCTGTGGATCATCTTCTTTTGCATTGTCATGTAGCTCACGACTATTGGAGCCTTATCCTTGGCCTTTTCGGCGTCCATAAGTCCTCGAGAGGTTTGTTTGACACTTAGCGAGGCAATAGTGTGGGAGCCCATGCCCGTGAGTGTTGGAGGGTGGTTCCCCTTTGTGTTTGGTGGTGCTTATGGAATGAGCGGAATAGAAGACCTTTTGAAGGGGAGGAATCTTCCTTGGGGGCTTTGAAGTTTCATATTATTAGCTCTCTTTTTAGTTGGGTTTTGGGGAGAAATTGTATATCCATTTACGAGTTTATTGATTTTTTGGGTTCGGTGGGTCCTTAGGACCTTGTCTCTGGCTTTGACCTTTGTATAACTCTTGGGACGCGTTCCCCATTTGAACGCTTTCTAATACATTTAACTTATCAAAAAAAAAAAAAGTGTTGGCATAATAATTGTTGTACAATTTACAAAGGTAACTTTGAAGAAATTCTATCCAGACTTGTATGGGATTTTTTGTGGATAAAATGTTCTGGAACTAACTCTAGATATGTGGGTGATATTGTGATTTGGGATATTACTTTTGAAAATGAAACTAATGACCGAGTGCGGAGCTCCAGGAAACTGTTTATAGTTTGGACTTGCAGGGAGGTGGAGAGAATGATATGCACTGGAGGGTGCTGAATTCAGGTGAATTTGAGTGAGGTCCTATTAAAAGGAGTTGAAGAGATCCAATGCCGAAAGCTTTTCATTGAAAGGTACAATGGGGTTTACAGTCCCCTTTAAGGTGGAGTTCTTTGGCTTGTCTGTAGTTCATGGGAAGATCCAATGAGTGATGGCTTGTTGTGGAATGTTACAAAACCAATTGATCACCTACTGATCCATTATAGAGAGACAAGGCATTTTTGGACTATAATGGCTTCTTTTTTGTTCCCCCAAACCCCCCCCCCCCCCCCCCCCTCAGGAATTGTTTGCATCCAAGAAGAGTCAGACCTTGGACCTGATGCTTCCTGAGGCACCAGGGCCAAGTGACTTACCCACTTGAGCCAACCCCTTGGGGTTGGTCTTTCCTAACTCGCGGTTAAACTTCTTCATAGTTGGACAGGAACTGTGTATAAGTTACACACCCTTTTGGTGCTTTAAAATGGAGTCCAATGTTTCATGTGCATTACACAGGATATAGCCTAACAAGCATAACTGAGAAGATTAGATAACAAACTCAGTTTTACATAGATGCAGTGCTTCAATCAATTGAGCTTTTGCTGGAGTGACACTGGCATTACTTCGATCGATCGAGGATTACTGTCCAGATTCAAATCAATTGACCCTTCGATTGACGTATTCTAGACCTAAAATAATACTTTCTAGGAAATTGTTCATCAATCGAACTATACTGAATTTGTAAAAATCCCCTAACCAAAAACTCATTTAAATAGTTTGAACTCTTAAGGACCAAAACCATAATTTTGAGATACAAGTTTAAAACATAATTTATTCCTTTTAAAGATCAAATCCAAGTAAGAAATATTTTTAGAGTATCATTTACCTTTAACCTAAATATGCGATTGAGCTTGAGATATTTCGGTGTGTTCTTCACTGATATTCATCCAAATCATCGTCATGTGGTTGTAGACAAACATCTCAAGACATTTGATGAACATTACAACCAAAGTTTTGAGTAAGAATTTTCCATCACATGACTCACTAACCAAACAAGAAAATAAAAATAAAAACCTCAACTCACTACTGAAGACATCCACACCGAAAATAAAAGCACGAATGCTCAACAGTATCATTCAGCAATACTATTTCCTACATTGCATACTTGAACTAAGCTGCTGAAACTTTTTTTTTCCCTAATACACGGTCATTCTTCATAATTTGTAGATCAAAATTAAGTTTGTTCTTGTGCTACTGGAATTTATGTTATTGCTGGGTAAATTCATTACTAAAGAATATCTATTTAAGAGCTTTTAGGTCAATTTGATCAAGTGGGTCCTGCATTCTCAAATTTAGACAGATTTTGAATTTTTTTTTTTTCAATACTTGCTAGTTTTGGCAAAAGGAAGCAGCAAGCTTGAGGCAACAGCTGCAGTTCTTGCAAGTAAGCCACAGGTATGGTCATTTTTTTCACATGACAATGAATCTTAAACAATAAATGCTAGTGGACTAATGTAAGGCAGTGTAGAAATTCATGATGCACCTACCAATATGGTTTAAAACCAGACACTGGTGCTGTGTCTGCACATCTGGTACTTGCACAGGTATTAATATGCTTAGATACAAAGCTGGGACAACCTTTAAAGTCGCAGAAATTTAAAATGAATCACTTAATTTTGACTCGTGTTAAACACGTGGCCAACACAGGTCCTACACGGTATCTACATATACAAAGGTTTCGATTGTATATAATAAAGATAAGTACAACCATTCTCCATCACTCCAAAGCATAAAGAAATAATTTTCATAATTGGCAGATTTTCTCTTGCATCCCAACATAAATTCTGTATGATCCATTTAATTTCAATAGGAAGTTAACCCCAAGGGGTTGGCTCAAGTGGGTAAGTCACTTGGCCCTGGTGCCTTAGGAAGCCTCAGGTCTAAGCTTGGACTCCTCTTGGGTGCAAACAATTCCTTGGAGAGGGAGGTGTGTGAGTACCAACTAGGGAAAAAAAAAAAAAAAAAATCAATAGGGAGCTCATCTTTTTTTTTGACTGTTTTTCCCAAGTTCCCTATATAATTTGTCATGACATAGTTTTCTACGACTTGACTTGTTGGTGAATCCATATTGCATAGGATTCATTCCTGTATGTACCCATGCTACATTCGTCTATCATACATATTGTTCCAACCTTGCTATTTATGTCTTTAAATCCAAGCCATATCCTTAATGAAAATGTAGGCTATCATATACATCCTCACAGTCTCATCCCACATTCACCTTAACCTTCCTCCTATTCATGTGGATCCTTAAGCCTGACTCATGACATTCCTTACGGGTGTAGACATCGTTCTTGCTTGCAGATGACCAAAACATGTCACTAAATCCGCAAAATTTCAGCTCATTGACCAGCCATGCATGGAAGGCATACCAATCCGTCACCTTTGCTTTAAAGGAAATCCTACACAGAATTCTTTAAGTTACTCCAAGAAATTGAGTCATTGCTAATATGGATTCTGCCAACAAGTTCTACAACTACAAACTTCATATTGATTACAATTTGAGAAAAATTAAAGTGGTTATATATTCAACATGGGCAACCAGCAAAACAATTTTGTTTGTGAAGTTCACTTTTTTACCTTAAATTGAAGCAAAACTTTGATCATTCAGCCTATTCAGGTCAATACACATTTTATTACTTAGGCAAGAAACTGCTGACTTTGGTAGTGGATTTTACACTTATTGACCATTTCCTGTTAAAACCACACCATTCACTTAGCAAAACCAGCATATGATAGTAAGTTGTGGAATCACCCCTATACTCCTAGGCTCCCACAAGTGATAAGCAGATGTGTCTCATCTTCGGACACCTTTTATTTCTATTACTTCTATCTGATTCATTTTACACAACACATGTTATGATTCAAGGGTCGTACAGCAAAGCGTTATGATTCAATGTAAAGAAAATGGATGCAATTAGCAGGGATGTTAACTATACATATAGTTGCAGAAAGAGAATTCTTTTTTTTTTCCCAGGACAAAAGGTAGAATGAGAATTCAATCAGTAATAATAATTGTCGCAAATTCCTGGGGGAAGCCAATTTCATTGCACCGAGTGAAACACATAAAGCCAATAGACGAGAGAGTCAAACTAGAACAAATTCTCTGTCAATAAACAGGACAAAATTCGAGTGACACAAGGAACATCGACAATGAATCAAATCCGGGAAATTCTACAGATAAAATAGTATATACAGTTATTAATACAAGGCACTCGAACGCTTATAAAAAATAAATGAAAATTTCAATTTTCGAACATAAAGATTTTTTATCAACCATGCCTTTTGGGGAAAAAGTTAAAAAAGGAAAAAGCATTATGTGATGCAGTAAGAAATGGTTCAATGCATCACAAATAAATATATTATTGATATAAAAAATTGAGGACACACATTGAAGGCCATGATAATGTATCCTGCACTTTTACTGTAATATTTGCAGGCAATTGTTGGGAGAAGATTTTTCTGGTTTGGGTGTCAAAGATCTACAGAATCTGGAAAATCAACTGGAAATGAGTCTGAAAGGTGTACGTATGAGAAAGGTAACATATGCTTAGCCAACACCATTTTCATCTTATAATGCCCGTGATTCCCCCATATTTATGCATGATCCTAAAAGCAGTTACTGTTTCTGCAGGGGCAAATATTAACTGATGAAATAAAAGAACTAAACTGGAAGGTCTCATTGAAAAGACAGCATTTCCCAGTTTTCAGTTAAGGGTTGATTTTGTGTCAGAGCTAATTTCATGGATTTCATTGCAGGGGGTTCTCTTTCACCAGGAAAATATGGAGCTGCACAAGAAGGTGAACCTAATCTGTCAAGAGAATACAGAATTGCAGAAAAAGGTATTTAACTCCAAATATCAGCAATAAATCTTATATAGCCCTTTCCATCTTTAAACACGGAAAGTGAAAGTTGTTGTCTAGATGATCCTAAGCAGAAGTTGTGTGCCAGGTCTTCGGAGCAGGATCTGGGAATGAAGCAAACAGAAGTGTTCCATATGGACTAAATGGAAACGATTTGCATGCACCCATCAATCTAGAGTTAAGCCAGCCACAACCTCAGAATAATGAAGCATCGGCAAAAGCAGTGAATCTGGGGTAATCTTTCTCCCTTGAATAATTGGTTACCGCTTACAAGTACCAAAAGTGAGTTGTTTTAATATTGATCCCATTATTATGTCCTTGAAATTTGCTCCAGGCTACACCTGCACTAGCAAAGCAAGTCACTGCAGTCAGCCACCCATTGTCCCAAAGTCATGACAATCAGGCTTCTGGCAGTGACATTTCGACTGGCTATCAGATTCAGTATGACATGATCTACTGAACCACATATGGGATTACTGTAAAATGATCAACTAAATGACAGTTATCCATGTAAAGTTATAGAATAAGGAGACAAATTGCAATTCTAGCAGTTGTAAGCTTTATAATATTATTATTGGAATTGATTACTGCTTGTTGTGTTTGATATATAAATATTCAAATGTATCGATTGGTCAGACAGGAAGTTCCAACATTGGTGACAAAATTAGCATCTATATTCATGAGAAAACTTTATTATCGATAAAATTTCATGCGAAAGCTCATAGAAGTGTACTATGCATCTCTTAAACCTTTTCTAGAAGCAGAAATTTTCTCAGTGGACAACAAATAAGCAAAAGAAAGAAAGGAAAGGGAAACATAGCTAGGTTTTCTAATTAATTGGGCACATTCCAACACGATTCAAGTAACTTAATTTCAAAAGAGAAAAAATATGATTTCAATAGGTACTCTGTACTCTGCTCAATGTACATTGCTGTCCAAAAATTTATTAATATTTAATGCCAATGCATTAAGTCTTGAGTAGATACAACAACGCAGGACAATCACCAAAGCACAAGAAAACACTTTTCCCAACACCATAAAATTGTACAGAGTGCGTGTCATGAGAAAAACTGGAGTATACATAACGAATTTAAATAAAGAAAAAGAAAAAATTTCCATGACAAAAGTATAGACTTCCATACATACCACAAGACGCTATATTGAGACAACCATAATCCTCATCAAGTTAGCTCTTCAACAAGGCTACACAACAGCACACACATGGAACAATAATAATAAAAGTCGAAACATATACGATATTTTGTCCTTATCTTCAATTTAGCTCCACAGATTAATCTAACATTCTGCCAATCTAAATAACTAGAATGGATGCTTACGCACTCTTTTCACAAATTTCTTACCATCATGAGAAAATTTAGTCATCTTATTTAGTCCTCCACTGTAAATGACAAACTAAATTATATGACTACTATATGGAATCCACAAAATGTAAAAGATTATAACAGAAATATAAAATTATAGTAAATCTGGAAGTCAGTGCGTGAGATTTGTGGGAATTACTCCAATTGTGTTACCAGTCTCCCGTTCCATTGCAAGGTCCAGCAAAGAAGACCACTTATGAAATTTGCCACCTCTCAGTAGGGGACCATTACTTGGTGCAGGTTTGGACTGTCAAGCATGAGATAAGTGTAGGACCGTAACCAAAGGCTCCGGTGTAGAGTTAGTACAAGGTCCACGATCTAGATGTAGAGGGGGGTGAATATGTCTTCAGTCACTTGAAAAATTATTTTTAACTAACTTTTAAACCTTTTTTTTTTCCTAGTTGGTACTCACACACTCCCCTCCAAGGAATTGTTTGCACCCAAGAATAGTCGAACCTTAGATCTGATGCTTCCCGGGGCACCAGGACCAAGTGACTTACCCACTTGAGGCCCCCCTTGCAGTTAACTAACTTTTAAACTTCAAATAATTACCATTAATTTATCGCATAAATCAAAACAAAAATCATAAATCTGCTCACTCCATCATGCAATAATCATAGAAGGATCAAACATAGAATAAGAACGCAGTAAAAATAGAAAAATCATGGGACCTAATCGACACAAATAAAATCCACTATAAGAAAAAAAATATTACCCTAGGATAACATTTCATAACCCTGGAAACCTACTCACATTCTTGACACCGACTGATTCACAATACTCACACTCAAAGTCTCTAGGCACATAGTCGGCGCCGTCAACAGATTTCCAATCTGCTTCTTCTCAAGTACTTTTATCTCTAGGCTAGTTGTCCAAACCTATGTTAGATGAACTCTTCAAAAGTAGGTAAAGTACCCGTGTCGGACACAATACTCAAACATGGGTATACGATATGTGTCTGACACTTTTGGTTGAAACGAACCTAAAAGACACATCCAATTATTCAATTTTATTATTTATTGCTTCAAAATGAATGAAATGCTTATATTAGACACTATGTTACATAAAGACATTATTTTACTCTAGAAAATAAAATTAAATAATTAAATAATATGAATGTTTAGGAGTGTCCATGTGTCTTTCTGTTTGGGGATTTGACACATCCGACGCATGGATACATACTCGTACCCGGAACATATACTCGATTCCAGATAACATAGGTCCAAACCAATCTCTAAATAGTAGGTTGATCTCCAATTTAGCTCAACAGCAGTAGATCATCGACACATGCATGATCACTCACCAATCTATATGTCTATACGCAGAATGATTGATGAATGAAAAACAAAAACTATATGTACTATAAATAGCCTCACAATCTATTGCTCTCTATCTTTTTCTTTGTGTTTATAGGTTTTCTAAAGTAGGTGGATATTTATAAACAAAAAAAGAGAAGTAAAAAAATGAGGGTCATCAAGTTTTAAATAGAAAAAGGAACTGATATTCCGAATAGGTCAATTGATCAAGATTACATTTCAATCAATCGACATGTGTCCAGTAGCCTTCAATTAATCCATCAATTAGTCGAACTGCCCCGTACAATTTATACTTGGAATATTTAGACCTAGAAATTCCAAAAACTCACATAGGTTTTTTACCAAATTAAAGCATGAATAAATGTAACCCTAATTGATAAATGCATGAACCCTAATTTGGTTAGTGTATATTTGTGAGTCAAATTGCCTTTACACCCTTGGCTTTAAAGATTACCAATCTCCCAATCTGCACTTGGTTGTAACTTAACTTCCAATTCTGCCCTTGGACATGAGGCAACTAACTTGATAATAACTCTCAAAAATATGACTAGAAATAAAAATAAAAGTTCAGACTTTTGTTTTAATCATGAAATTTTTCAGCCCAAGTCCTATTGACCTAACAATCTTCCCTTTTGGCAACTTCGTGAAAAAAAAATCATAAATCAAAAAACAAAAACTGAACAATACAACATAGATAAACAGACTTTAACTTCAAACTTCCACTAGAATGCTTGAACTCTTAACTCAAACATTGGCATGGGCTGCAAAGCAAACACAAGCTATACCCAGTACAGTATATCAACGTGTGAGGAAATTATAAACCACTTGCAACAGCTATGGAAATTAAAAGGAAATAAAGGAACCCACAACACTGTGATCCATGGGTCACCAGGAGGTCGAGGTTGAGGAAACCTGCGGAGCACCAGCATTATCTTAAGGGGGCATGGTAAGGAGGTTGCTCTCCCCACTCCCCCAGGAATTCACGAAGGGTTCTTCTTTAAGAATGTATCAAGGGAATTTCCATGAAACCTCAGTTGGATTAACTCAACAGAGGAGGGAATCAGAGGGGGCAAATGGAGAATGGTAAATCCGCGGTACGATCCTGGGGTCACGAGGAAACAAAAAAGAATGAAAAATGGACACAAGCGGCAACGTGGTCACAATGGGATGAGCACCCATCCTTGACAACGTCAAGCCAATCACATAGATTGGACAACGAAGTCATCTTGGGAGGCAAGATTCCACGTTGTGGCTCGTGGCTCGTGGCTCACAAACGTGCCCCTCGCAGCAATAAAACTATGCCTAAGCTCGCAACAGTTCCCCAGTTAATGGGACTCATGGTTTGTCGCGGTAACATCTCATTAACTTGAGAAAAGTTCTCTGAGCTCAAGCATAATGGCACGCAATGTTGTTAGCCACAATGGTTATGGTGCAAAACTAGTTGCGAAGTGTCCCTGGAAGGAAGGAGAAATTTTTTGTGGCATGGAGGCTTGAGAGAAGGGCGAGTTAGATGGGGTGATAGGGATTGAAATGCCCGCAACCCCCGAAGGAGGGGGCACCTGCGTCCATAGTTGTTAAAGGCATGACTGGGCACGAGGCACAACCTTTGCGGATAAAGGACCTTGATTCGCCTTGAGCCTTTAACAACTATGCCATCATCCAACCGGACCAACCCAAAAGATAGATAAAAAGGGGACACGTGTCACAATCTTATTAGGGCACAAGGAATCTTATCCATCAGGTCCCCCATGCCCAGATTTCTATAAAATAGAGGCACAAAACCTAATGTAAGGGCAATCAATTCCTCGGCCTCCTCCCCTTTTTTCTACTTTTGGCCTTCTCTCACTCCCTCTACCAAATCATCTATCCTACCTTAAACTGAGATTTTAGTCTTGAGTGCAGAATCGTTCCTCTATTCCAAATTTAGCCAGGTCTTTAATCTTATCCCTTTACAATGGGTAGTGCAAACCATCATCATCCTTGCCTTAATCCCTTATGAAATGGGTCGGACCATATGAATTCTCTTTCTCCAAACTTTTCTATTACATGCGATTTCAACTACTATATTTGACTTTTTTAAATCATTTTTAACAACCTCGTCCAATGTTATTTTTGGTCGCCCTCTCCGTCTCTTACCTTCTATTACAACTGGTCTTCCTCGTTTGGCTGGCGCATGTCTAGATCTTCAATGTATGCGTCCAAACCATCTAAGTCTACCCTCTCGGATTTTCTCACCAATGGGTGCTACAACTAATTTTTCTCTCACACTTTCATTAGTGACCCTATCTCTTTCCATTCACTCCACTCATCCATCTTTAACATTCTCATTTCCATTACATGAAGGCGTTGTTCAATGGGTAGTGCAAACCAAATTATATATGTGTATAAGGAAAATAAATAAATAAGCAATCAGAATGATCAGAATTAAGCAACTTGATTTGAAAGATCAGAATTAAGAATGCAAGGAACTCTGAAAGACAGTAATAAAATTAGAATTCACATAGCAACAGAAAGCACCTGTAATCAATTCCTCGGCCTCCTCCCCTCTTTTCTACTTTTGGCCTTCTCTCACTCCCTCTACCAGATCATCTATCCTACCTTAAACTGAGATTTTAGTCTAGAGTGTAGAGTCGTTCCTCTATTCCACATTTACCCGGGTCTTTAATCTTATCTCTTTACAATTTGTAGCGCAAACCATCATCATCTTTGCCTTAATCCCTTATGAAAGGGGTCGGACCACATGAATTCTCTTTCTCCAAACTTTTCTATTACATGCAATTTCAAATACTATATTTAACTTTTTTAAATCATTTTTAACAGCCTCATCCAATGTTATTTTTGTTCGCCCTCTCCGTCTCTTACCTTGTATTACAACTAGTCTTCCTCGTTTGAATGGCACGTGTTTAGATCTTTGATGTATGCATCCAAACCATCTAAGTCTACTCTCTCGGATTTTCTCACCAATGGGTGCTACAAGTAATTTTTCTCTCACACTTTCATTAGCAACCCTATCTCTTTCTAGTCACTCCACTCATCCATCTTAACATTTTCATTTCCATTACATGAAGGCATTGTTCAATGGGTAGTGCAAACCAAATTATATATATGTATATGGAAAACAGTAAATAAGCAATCATAGTTCACACAACACAAAAGCAGCTTGATTTGAAAGATCAAAGATAAGAATGCAAGGAACTCGGAAAGGCATTAATAAAATTAGAAATCACCTATAGCAACAGAAAGCGTGCCTGTAATCAGATATGAATTAAAGTAACAAAGAGTAAATAAGATAAAAATGTAAAATTCAGTTAAAAAAAAAATCAAAAAATAAAAGGCTCTACCTTCACCTTATAAGTGGAAAAAGGTAAGATAAAGGAGAGCCCATTGCTTGAAGCTTCTTCATTCAAATGTTGATAATTTATATAGTTGGAAGGAACAAGAGGTTCAGCATTAACCTGCCCAAATAACAATACATTCCGTTAGTATTCCACAACAAATACACATGTGAATGTTCTTGTGTATATCTTAATACATATGTATTTATATGTATGCCTATAGGTAATATTAAGAAGGTACTGGTATATATACATATAGATAGATATAGATAGATAGATATATATATATATATATATATATATATAATATGAGGGAATCGTAACCGCCAGAAATCGCCATGAAAATCGAGTTGATAAAGCGGCATGTAACAAGAACCAATGAAGATGTACGCAGAACAGACTTCAAAGAAGCATCGTAATGGAGAAAGCATAATAGATCTGTGTTTTTGAAAAGTATGAGAGAGAGATTTGTGGAGCGAAATGAAGATGTACGGGTTTGGGGTTTAAACAAAGGGAAAGAAAGAGGGGAATCAACAACGTACGGGTTTGGGATTTTAAACAAGGGAAGAAAGAAAATAATCACCTGCAATCAAGAGTTCAGCGATTGTTGCAACTGGACACTTGTGAAAAAAAAAAAAAAAAAAAAAAAAAACCGCTATTATGTCAAGCACCAATAGGGCTTGTTTGGTTTACGTTTTGTTTTTTGGGTTTTTGTTTTTGACCAGGGACGTGAATACTGAATAGTGGCAAAATTCCAAACATTAATTTTCAGCGTTTGGTTATGTTTTTATTTCCTCGGTCTCAACATAATTGTCCACTTCGTAACCTGTGCAGCGGTACCCAAAAATAAATTAAAATTTTTTAAATAATTTTTAAAAATAGCCTGTATATATTTCAAACATGATTTCATATTTTTGCTTTCAAAAATTTTGTAATAAATAGACACTACTAAATATGCTTTTCATTTCTATTTAAAATATTTTATAACAAAAACGTAAAACATTGGAGGAATATTTATCTAAGTCACATAAAGCGAGAGTGGGAATGATAGCAAATTCGAGAGTAGAAGCGTAAGAACGGTGGAATTAAATCATAAATAGTGAGAATTTAAACCAAAATATGTTCGGAGCGTGAGAGCGACACCACTCGTTAGAAAAGATTGTGTGACTTAGGTATTTATCTTTTATAGATTTGTCTTATTGGATTGACAACACTAAAAAGTATGTAAATTATAAGTTTTTTATTCTTAATATAGTATAAATAATAAGGAACACACAACCTTAAAAAATGAAAATAATAATAATAATAACATTAATAAATTTGGTGGGTGAAATGCGTAAAGTTCTTTTCAAAACTCACTCTTAATAATTATTAAGAAAAACGAATAAATAATATTTTTCAGTGAAATTTTGGAAGAGCTGCTGATAAAAAAATAAAATAAAATTCAAAGTTACCGTGAATAATTATTAAGAGAGGACCCTAAATAAGTAATAAAAAATAGGGCCATTGGGTGAGGATTGGATGAGAGGAAAGTTCTGGCATACACTGGATTGCAGCTGATCAAACATGTAGGGAAGGTGACGTGTGCGCTCACGTAATCAACTATTTTTCTGTATTTTTTAATGAAATAAATAAAGCGTTTGGGGGTTTGTGATTTTTGTGCAACTCGTGGTGATACTAGGAAACAGGACCCACTCATGGCGTGTGGAAATTGGTGGATGAGAGAGCCTGAGTCTGGTTTTATTCTATTGGGCTTTGGGCCTTAGAGCGGAACAGAGGACGGACTCACCAACAAACGAACAAATAAAATAAAATCCAAATCCAAAGAAATGAAGCTTTGATCATGGTTTCGAATGGATTTGTTAACCTGGAGAGTGAAGTCCTAGGATCAGGAATACAGGATCCTCTCCGGTTACAGAGTGCATTCGGTTCCTCTTAAAGAGTAAATGAATAGTGAAAATTATGGAAGGTTAAAATTTTGTATTTTATTTATATTACCCACACGCACACGACCTTTCCTCCTCCTTCCCTCCCTTCCAATTTGTCAGCAACCAATTCAAAATTGAAAATACCGTCTGCTTTACTTTCTTCTTTTTCAAAATAAATATATTTTGATTTGTTTTCAAAACGAATCAGAGCTCTATTTCTCGTTCCTTTGTTCTTATAAATTTCTCCTTCCCTTTCTTCGTATACGAGATCATTTTATTTCAAATTAACATAGCAACATCGGAGCACGCAAATATTATTTCCAAGTTTTATATTTTATTTCAAAACAAATTGTATACTCTTTTTTAAGAAATCAATGGCAGAAAAAGGAAAAAAAAAATTACTAAGAAGGAAAGGAGATAAGTGGACGATACCCGTAAAAATTAAACTAATCATCTGTTTATTTGTTTGGTTCATGAGTAAATTGTTTGGATTTAAATCATACGTTTAGTTGTTTGTTTCTTGCATAAATAGTTTGGGTTTAACGTAAATACAAAGATTTAGAGAGCAATTTGAAATATGTTTTGGACTCGCATGGTTTTTTTATTTAATTATTTATGTACTTTTAAGTTTCTTTGATATGCAAATACGCTTTGAACATAATAGTTTGTAATTTAAGTTGATGTAAGTTGTACGCGACATTCCAACATAATTTTATTGATGATGATAGTCACTTACGTAGTTTGTTTCGTGTTATACGTAAAATTCAACTTCGTATGTAGTTTATTTCATGTTTATATTATACGTAGTTTGTTTCTTACTTATGTTATAAGTAATATCCTAACAAAATTCTACTAATTGCAGTACGTAATTGAGTAGGAAAAGAATAAGGAACAAACATGAAAAGATAGAGAGATGAATGAAACACTAACACATGAATTATGAATAAATGAACTAACAATTTTTAGACAAAATGAAAAAAATTGACGGTTATCACACGTAAACACACATGAATTTAGAATGAACAAAATTGATGATAATCAAATGAATTTATTTGGAACTCCAAAATAAAATACAAAGGAAGACGAAACAAAAACAAACCAAACACACATTGTTTATTAAAATAATACCATATTTTGAAAATAATATTTAAAATTTTTATATGTATGAAATACAACTTAAAGGATAGTTGGATGCAATCGGTGAAAACTTTCCGAATGAGTGTGCGGTATTTGAGCCCGGCATAATTTACCCAAAGAAAAATGATATTTTTGACGACAATTTCATATCAATTGAAAAACCTACTTTAGCGTGACAATCCACTATTGGCTGTACCAAGTCTTCATGACATATTAAATGCATTACATTTTTTCAAACAAAAATATCCTTTTTAATCTCTCCTTTTCCTTTTTAATCCCTCGTTTTCTTTGGCCATTTTTCTCTACGTATATGGATGATTTCTTTGCCCTTTGCTCTATACGTAGGCTGTAAATTTCCTCTGTTTTTTGCTATAGTTTATTTTCTTTACAAATATATTTTTCACTAAAGACTCAAATAGAACTTTTTTTTTTTTTTTCTTGGATTATATAAACTATCGTTGAAGCAAAACAGAGAAAATTTTCACTCCAATAAAAAAAAAATTGAGAACAATTTGAAGGTCAGTGTTAACTGTGTTATGACTATAGGTTGTTAAAGAGGTAACATTTAGGATAATAAGTTTCAATTAAATTTAGTAGATTAAGAGAGAGAAGGGGCAAAAAGAATGTTTTTTAAAGAGAAAAAAAGTGGCTTTTACCTCTGCAGTTCTTTTTAATTTTTTTTTGGGATTTTGTATTCAAATTTTGGACCGGAAAATGTTGATTGTGACCTTTTATATGGGGTTTCTTGAGGTGGATCAGATTTCCGATTGGAGACTATTTAATGTTTTTATTTTTCTCATAAACTAAACACAGGTAAGATTTATTCATTCCTAATTATTAAAAGTTCATTATTTTTTTTCCCCATTCAAGAGAGAAATATTACCCTTTGTGGGATTCTACTATGCTCAATACAATAATTTTTATCGACAATTTTATTGAATTTAAGATGGGTCTCCATCTAATCCACACGTAGATAGCCACGTGGAGTCGTTATATGACTCGGTTTTTTTCAGTCGGGTAAATGGCATTACTCTTTTACTCAAAAAAAAAATAAATAAATGGGAGGAAAAAGGAAAGGAAATAAAACAGCATAAATCATTTCTTTCCTAGTATTTCGCCGATGAAGCGTTACATTAGTCAACATCGGTCTCTGTATTGACCTGCATCACTGATCCACACATATACAAACAGGTTCAGTACTTTGAATTTGAGTCTCCTTTTTCTTTTTCCACCATTGAGACTAAGTTTTGAATCTCATAGTGTTCAATTCCCAATGTACTTCATGTGCTTTCTTCATTGCCCAACTGATTGTAAATCTCACTGAAAACTTTGTATCGAATACACATTTACACACACCTTAGTCTTGAATTTCAGTAGTCGGAGAATATTGTAAGCAAAGACACATTTACATATTTTTGGGATTGAGCACAGTAGATGAAATATATTGAGGAATGTATATTTCTAAAGTAAACTTCAACAGCAATGATTTCAGTTAAACAATTTATTGTTGCTTTAATTATTATGTTCTATATATAAGTAGCATAGGTTGTGTTATGTTTTGTGGGGAAGTTAGGCAATCTTTTTAACCCCCATTAAATGGTAGAGGCAACCATCTAACAATAGAAATTTAGGGAATTTTTTTGGTGCATTTTAATACTCGTAGAGCTGCATAAATTGTTGTTCATTTTGTGTGTGTGTGTGACAGTGTGTGTGTGTGTACATTTCTTCTTGTAGATACGAGGTTGTTTTAATGAATCATAAAACCTAGATTTTGCGCGAAACTTTTCCATTTTCTAGTAGTAATTATTTTTTGAAACTAATAAAATGTGGTGTTCTATTAACCCACCACCCCCAGCCGAAACTTAATATTCTTTCAAGTTTTTTGAATTTTGTTCATTTATTTAGTTTTTTTTGTATTATTTATTTATGTAAATTCCGTAATGTGAACTATTGTAGATCAACTTGACCTTTAGTGCTGTCTGATACCTTTGCATTGGAAAACATTATAGGCATTTGAAGGGGATGGAAAGCGTGGAGGAAGGTTAGAAATCATGAGATGATTTTTAGAGCAGCTTTACCTTAATTTTTGCTTGTAAAGCAACTATTTAAGTTCGAGTTAGCACCGAAGCCATTGTAGTGCAGTGGGATGAGGATGGAGTACGGTTCGGTGTTTGACAAACGGTGAGAGAGAGGAATGCTCAACATCAACGCACATAAGAGTATGTTCGGATTAATCCGCCAAAGATCAAACAGAAATATATAATGGCAACAAAGGAAAAATAAGATGGAAATCACACACACAACAACATCAAGGGGCGAAGAAGGACTAACTTTTATTTTAAGAAAAGAGAATATTACAACACTTAACGGATTACCAAGAGGTATTCCACACTCACTCACTAGAGGAAGACACACACTATTCTAAAGGGATTGCATTCACTTTTGGCACTCACTAATTTCTGTATTTTTTCTTTCTCCATACTTTTCTCCACTCACTTCTCTTCTTCTTCACTCTGTTCTTCACAAACATGCACCAATCATACATTCTTTCATCCATACATTGTTGACCACCATTAAATGACACTCTACATTTCTCCATTCACCAGCACACATATCACTAAGCTAATGAATTTGAGCCACCTAAACAGCGATTTCTTTTTTACTACCTCTTCTGTCTAATGCAATATTGAACACAATCGTCGTACAACAAGATAATTATCTTCTGTACAACTTGCAAACAGAAGAATATGTATGTAGTGTAGAACCACCATTTGTTAGTTAATTCACTGGACAATTGTCAACCGCTATGCCCTTGGCTGTTGGACAAGTTGCCAAGTCACAGTGTTCCCCAGCTGAACCCCACCAAGTCAGTCCTTTATCCTCTAAACCCACTGAGAAGTACAGCAGCACCGCCATGAAAGCCACCCCAGCGTCCAAGGCCGCTGAAAGAATATAATTGTATCTTTGCCACCACATCTTTCGGTACCGGAAGATGAAAAAATTGAAAATTGTACCAACTATGATCCAGGAAGTGTAATTCAATGGCGTTGCTGGTGGCATAGCACCTGTTGCTCCCAGAAGGACTGGAAGGTTAATCAAAGGAATCCAAGATTGATTGGGGAAGGCCCTGTGGAAGAGCCAAACAATAACTGGTCCCAATGCGCCTCCAAGGAAGAACCAATTCATGGTGCTATAGTTTCCAAGAGATCCAAATATACGTCTAGGTCCCACTAATCCCCATATGACGGATGCATCGAAGAATACCCGGTCACCGGGGCAGGTCCAGGGACTGCCTGCTTTAAGGAGATCCTCTTGGCATATGTTCTCAATAGAGGTCAGCAGCCACCACGCCACCACAAGGTTAATAGTCCCCGCAATGACAGTTCCTATGAACTGTGATGTATACAAGCAACCATAGTGGCAACAAAACAGAGAAATATATCAGAAATTTTCCTTAAACTAATGTGCAGAATAATTTGTAGATGATATATGCATATATATATATATATAATATGTGTGTGTGTACCATTCTCAGGTGCTGGTCCCACCTACATGTGGTGCTAGGAGTGGAATACCATAAGACAATCCTAAGGCATCACATGTAATCTGTGTATATATATATATATATATCCTTTTAGGATGATTTAGATAACATCATTTAGATTTTGTTTTTTATTTTTTTTGTGAAGTTAAAGCAAACACACACCCATTATCCACAATATGTCCCTAGTAGGACACAAACTCTCAATCTCATCCTTCGGGGAGGAGAGATCACACCATTGTTGTGTGTTTGGTTTACTAGTTTATATTATTAATATCATTTAATGTTATGTCCATGAAGTGGATGAAATTTACATCTTTGTGTTTCTGAAGTGTTAACAATACATGCATACTAGTTTTTTATTTTTTAAAGGTGAAGCAGTGCATTTAAACCTGTACTGTTTCTTCACCTGAAATATTATTATGTATCAATTGCATCAAAGATGACTTTGTTCTTGTTATTGTTGTTGTTATTATTATTGATAACTGTTATTCAAAGTTGGTCCTTGCAGTGCAGAAAAAATTTGATTCTAAATAGTTTGAAGCGTATTACATATTGGCATGTTATTAGCTTTCTATTTTAGAATTGCTTTTCAGATGGCAGATGTATGATTTTCTCAGTAGATAAATAAATGTACCTGAACTAAGAACATTGATCTTGGAGGGATCTTCATGTAATGTCCGAGCTTGAAATCACTGAGGAAGGAGACAGCCTGAGCCATGCTCATGTAACCGTAGGTTTTAAAGCATACATTGGCTATTGGTTTTCCTGGTAATATAATACCCATGACATACTCTGTGATTATGTTCAGCCCTGGAGTCTGTATATAAAGCAATAGAGCATCATAAAAAATAAGCAGATTTACTTGGATGTTGGTGTACAAGTGTTTTTAAGAAACATTATGCTTGTGCTAATTTTAGAATTTATGCTGTGAGTTTCAAAAAGAGTAACTCTTAATGGAACATGATGTTTTATTGTGAAGACCAAACAGGTTAGATAAGGCATTGTAACTGATGGATAGTCAAATGATACGTTACATAGACTCGGGTACGTGTACTCCCCAACAGAAGGATGCGGGGACACTGCTAAATTTTCATATTATTATTTTTCTTCTATTTTATTCTTTAGAGTAAAATAATGTCTTTATGTAACATAGCATTCAATATAGGAATTTCACTCATTTTGAAGCAATAACATAATAAAATTGACCTATTAGATATGATTTTTAGATACGTGTCCAACCAAAAGTGTCGAGCACATATCCCAAGCTCATGTCCGAGACAGTTACTTCATCTATTTTTGAAGAGTTCATGTAATATAGGTCAAATGAAGACTAATGTTTACTTCTAATGCTCCACAGTAAGAGAGGGAAACAAAGGGGGGGAAAAAATTTGACTTAGTTACCTGGTTTGTTGTGGCAGTTATGATGCTGATTGGAAGGGTGAAAGTGAAGGCCATAGCACAAGCAAAAATGAGTCCCCACCATGGCATCTGAACCTCATCCTTCAAGACGGTGCAGAGTACAAGACCAACTGCAAGTGTCACTCCAAGCATTGTGTAAAACCACCAGGAAGGTATGTCCGGGTATTTCCTCATCAATCTTGTGTGGATATCCTCCTTATCTTTGTAGGAAGCCCGGAAACGTTCATATATCTCCCTGCAGAGTATAATAAGAAGTCAATGAACATCATGTGTGTATAATGGATGAGATTTGCTTTTGATTTTTATGCTCTTTTTCATTTCTTGTCATTGCAAACATATTTAGATCATCTCATCACAATATATGTAGTGATGCTTAAGAACAATTGTTATCTTGGGTATTAACAGAAATTATTTCATTTCTGTCTCTGCATCTGGAATCTAACATCAGTCTGGAGGGATTTGAAAGACCTTTTATTTTAGAAAAACAATTGGAATGTCAGGAATTAACACACACACGCACAAACATGTATATATATATTTGAAGACCTTTATATATATATATATATATATAGTTAAGTGATAGTATGTATCAAAGCATCATACTTATCAAATCTCCAAACAAAGGACCCAAGGACACTGCTGATATTCATATTATCTACTATTTTAATATAATTTTAGAGAGTAAAATAACATCTTTATGTTACATAGTGTTTAATATAGACATTTAACTTGTTTTGAAACAATAATTTAATAAAAATGAATCATTGGATATGGTACTTAGGTACATGTCCAACCAAAAGTATCGGACACATCTCTCAGACCCATGTCCGAGTATAGTGTGTCTGACACGGGTTTTTCTACTACTTTTGAAGAGTCCGTGTAACATAGGTAGTAGTAGTATTTGAAAGCGTCTTAGAACAGGTAAAACTTTACCTTCCATAGAAGAGGCCCACATGTGTAAGGGTGGAAGCAATGGTAGCAAAACCAAAGCCATAAGTAAGAGCAAAAAACATGCTTAGATGAATCCGTCCTTGCTCATCATACTTCAGTAAGTCTATCTCAAACTTGTCATTCACAATAGCTGTTATGTTATACTTCTGACCATTGGCTCTGAACAAGTGCGAGGAGAAGATAGGAAATCTTTGAGCATTGTACAAGTCTAACCCCCAATAGGCTATGGGGATAAAGATATAGATTATCAAGACAAAACCCATAAGGACATTGACAATGGCAAAGAAAGGGCATATGAGGGGACTGAACAGGAAGGAGGCCACGACAGTCCAATCGAGCGTCATGGCTCCAAATCCGAGGCCCCTCATGCCTGACCCAAGTTGCTGGGCTGTGACTGAGTTGGAGAATGCCCAACACACCCATGAGATGGTTGAGAGTGTTGGGAAGAGGTATCCTGGGATCAGGTACCAGGAAAAGCTGCAAGCTAATGCAATTACAAAGAACTTTGCCCTTGACATGCGTTTCTCTTCTCTTTCATGCAAAGCCCTGCAAATTTAAGATCATGTTAGTTCCTTGGATATTAGTTTACATGAGAAGCATATAGAATATAAAACCATCTTTAGGGGCAAATTTAACTAGAATCATGTTATTGCATCAACGAAGAAAAAAACTCCCATAACATGGCATTGGACCTTATGTTTTTGGATCCTTTGTTTTTCCAGGTTTTGTTCTGTTTGGGCCATATGGGCTCGTTGTCTGTGTTGGCCCTTTGTAAATTCTATTATATTTATACATTGATTAACTTTCCGGAAAAAAATTAAATAAAAAAATTGATTGGAAAGCTAGAGGAGGAGCTTTGACTAGCTGATATTGTTTATGAAAATGCTGAATGTGATACAATATGTTTGGTGCTTGTTTGAGTGAAACATGTAAGAGAAAATCATGCAAGGGAGTGCCTTACATGTTTCACCTTAACAATTTTAATGTGCATGATTGCATTGCACATTAATGTTGTTGATTAAAGTTTTCATGATATTAATCAATTTTTAACCACTCCCTTGGGAAGGTTGGTTCACAATCTCTTCAATGGTTTGTTGAGTATTTTATTAATATCAGGAACAAGTACTCTCCTCCCTCATCATCATCATTATCGTCGTCTTCATCACCACCACCACCACCATCATAGTTTTATATTTCTTATTTTCATTGAGAAGGTGATGACATTTTGCTATCAAATGCCATGATGTATTTATGTGTATTGTGCTCCCTTGCACTCATGATTGCACATTAATGCTGTTGATTAAAGTTTTCATGACATAAATCAAGTTCTATCCCCTCCCTCGGTTCAATGGTTGGTTGAGTATGTTATTCTAATATCAGGAACAACTCATCATCACCACCATCATAGTTTTATATTTCTTATTATTACTGAGAAAGCGATAGCCTTCTGCTTTCAAAAAGCCATGGTGGTGGTGATAAAAAGTTTCATATCTTTCAGCATGCCACTCAATGCAGCGCTGACCATCCTTCAAAGTTCTCACACCAAAAATTCAGTTTCATACTGCACCATATCACTTCATTAATTTGCTTTGGTGTTGTGTCCATGATCTGAAATCTCATTTTTAATGTTTTTCATATGCATCATAGTTCATGAGCCGGGATCCTCTGCTGGTGCTGTAGTTGTTGTATCGTTTTTCAACGCACTTACATCTGAAAATAGATGAAAGTGCGTTGAAGAATGCCACAGCACCTACAGCACCAAAGGTGCTACAGCAGAGGATCCAGGCTCCATAGTTCATAGGGCTAGTTTCTGGCATGGAGACTAGTCAAGGATGGGCTGTTCAACTTGCACATGTAATGCCAAGACTAAGTACTGTGCTTGTTACAATTATTATTGTTAGACAAAAAATAGCACATCTATAAAGAGGAAAAAAAAAAAAGAACATTGTCTCATTAGGAAATGTCAAGTTGTTATGACAGTTTTTATTGACTCCAAGTTCCCATCCTATGTGATTGCTATCTCTTTCCAGTACCCATCAGTTTGGGTGAGACATTTAACCAGAGGCTGTAGCTCCTACCACTATAGCTACCATAATGTTGATGTTATTTTGAGGTATGGGTGACACCACTTGAAATTTTTGTTGCTTCCTCTTTGAAACTTTTGAAAACAGGTTTGAGGATTTTCAGGGATGTTGTAGCAGCTCATATTGACTGCAGCAAAGTGAGAGCTGGACTTTAGTGGAGGTAACAAGGCAGAACAAACACTCCATGTTTTTTCTTTGACTATGATTTTCTTTACAGAAAGTCCATATTTGCTTTACAAAAAGTCCATATTTGGGATTTTGAAATTAATTGATATTTGGATAACTTAAAGAGTGGGAGTTTTTTTTTTTTTTTTTTTTTTCTTTGTCGGTATTCACACACATACCTCCACTAAGGCTTGACCCCCTGATCTTCCTTTAGGAAGTAGGAGTCTGGTACCGTTAGGCCACTGGCATGTTGTTAGAGTGGTAGTTATTTGAAAAGAGTATTGAGAATTATTTGGTGAAAATATCAGATTTTTTTTTTTGGAAAAAAAAAAAAAAAAAAATTGAGCAAGAAAATCAGTTTGTTAAAAATGCTTAAAATAAAAAGTCATGTTATTTAATTTATTAAATAAATGAGAAACTAAAGAATTTGTATTTATAAATAATATTTGAGTTATTAAAAAAATAATTCATGAATTATTGAAATATGTAGAGTAAATTTGGGCTTCATTTATTGGATGAAAATATTTGTTTAGTTTGAGAGTTTTGTGTATGGGAAAATATTGAAGAAAAGGAGATTCAAGGTCACTAGATTCAAGGTCATTAGGTTAAAAAGAAAAGTAGAGATAGGTTTGTTAATAATTCTTGTTGGATTTTCTTTTGTATAAATTCTACTCAGGAAAAGTCAAATTCGTCAATTTTTTTGCTTCCATACTTTATGGACCACGACAACTAGATTCAAGGTCATTAGGTTAAAAAGAAAAGGAGAGATAGGTTTGGCTCGTTCATTTATGAGCTCTGCTCAAGCATTCCAGCTTGTCTGAGCATATTATTACTTATTTTTTCAATATATATTAATTTTACATTTTTTTTCCTTTCATTTTAAAATCATTATTTTTGTCTCCATGGCCACATGAATATTCTTTCTCTAAACTTTTCTTTTACAAACCAAATCATCCATTATGTTTTATTTTTTAAAATTATTTATTTTGACCGTCTTCTCTCTCTCTTACCTTCTGCACTGTTAATAAGAAAATAAGTTTATGATGTATATGTCTAAACCATTTGGTCTACTCACTTAAATTTTCCAACCCCAACTGTGTTAGGCTAATTTCATTCTCACACTTTTTATTATTTTTATTAATGACCCTAGACTAGTCACTTTGTTCATTCACCTTAACATTTTTTTTTTTTTTGTACTTTGATAATAAGTAATTTAAAAGTCGGACACATAAATATCGTCTAAGGTATTCGGCTCTCAGATTCCGTATCAATTCTCTTAAATTATTTTGAACTAAGAAAACCAATTACACATGCAGAATTTTATGGTACAAGCTAAGTCAACCATTGTTAAACTTGACTTATTTAACAAATATCTTCATAAGTGAGATTACAGCTCGACCGCATTTACTTAAGCCATAAATATTTTGGGCCCATTTGTCACATGGTGACAAGTCTCTCTCTCACTGTGTATGCGGGTGTATAACCTACATACATACAAGTCAAGGTGACCCCCAAGTCCTTATAAGTCCAAATGAAGTTAACAGGGTGGCCCAAAATCTGAGGTACACAGTTGACTGACTCATCTTCTTGTCCTACAATAATTTAATTGGCATGCAAGCTGTTAATGAACTGTGATTCGGCAGATTCCTCATGTGACCTATGAATGGTACCACTATATTGTTAATGCAAATTAAAGAAATCATATGATTATTTATTTTAAGGAAAAAGGCATTAGAGGACAGCTTTCACCCTATCCTATGAAGGTGTGATGGGCAATGTGTCCAACCGATGAAAATTGTCATAATAATTAGTTGATAATGGTTTTTAAAAATAGATGAGACTAATTTTATAAAATAGTGTATTTTCATTGGTTGGACTGCTTGATCCACTAGATATTTTTATTGATATGGAAATAATTTTCTGTTCTCAAAAAATTAAAAATCGAAAAATGTATACAAAAAACTATGCCTGATTTAATTTTTTGAAAACTCAGTTATAAAAATATCAGTTTTTAGAAAACTATAAAAATATTCTCTAATAACAGTTTTTTATTTTCTGAGTTTTTAAAAACTGTTTTTAAAATTATAAACCAAACATACTCTTATATTTAAGTCTAAGACGAGCTCTCAGGCACAAGCTTTGTCTGAGTGTTACTCCGCTTGTAGTTCGGATGATAAGGGGAAGTTGCCGGTTCAAAATAATAAAAATATAATTAAACATCTCTCTCCTAACATATGGACAATTAAAAAAACAAAGAGAAAAAAAAAAAAAAAAAAAAAAAAAAAAAAAAAAAAGCAAAGTCACAACATAAGAATATAACTACTTACGTAATAAATAGTTTACGTGGACAATTATATTAAGACGGAGGTAATAAATGGTGTTTCATATTTAGTGAGTTGGGCAAGCACGGTGGAGAGTGACTTACCGGAAAAGTGAGACCTGAACCAGAGTGCCGGGCCACCACATGTGTGCTGGCTCTACCACGTATTTCCTCAGCAATCCAGCCCAACCATATCCCAACACCTACAAACCCATCAATTCCACTTTAATTAGCACAACCCACAACCAACCACATGTGATACATATATAATACATATATATATATATATATATATGTATCGGCAAAAACTATGCTCGTGATTAAAATACTTGACATGACACAAAAGTGGTGTTATTGCTCTTCCCCAAAAGCATTCAACCAATTTAGATAAAAACCACCACTTTGGGCTGTCTTGCTAAGAAGCCAAAAAAAAAAAAAAAAAAAAAAAAACATTTTCAATCACCTTTTTATTTTTATTTTTTTAGAGCAAAAGAACACCAAAGTTTTACTTCAAATAAATTTTTTTTTTTTCACAGTGGTGGTGTTGGGTTTTTTAGTTTTAAAAACATCTCATAATTCACCATCAAATACGTGCAGTTTTTAATTTCAAGTGCATCAAAAAAAAGTTTTAAAAAATATGTAAATAAATAATTAAAAAAAAAATAGACAATTACCTGTGTAGTGATAATAAGTATCCAACCAGCAAGAAATGAAATATTCCGGATATAAAATGCTTTAATAATAGTGATAATGCCAACAGCATAGGCTGAGCCATTTCCAAAGGCACTTCCAGCGTTAGCAAAAATAGAGATGAGGACATGCTCTTTCATGTTAAACGGACCCGGGTTGAAGGAAAACGTCTTGGGTCCAAAACCCGGAATCCTGAACTTGGCGGTCGGGAGGACGGCGGCCAAGAAGTGGCCAACAGGGAGGCTGGCCACCTGGACGGTGATTTGGGTTATGACAAGTGGCTCCGTACGGTAGGAGAAGAATTGGTTGAGGAAAGATAGGAGACAACATGATAATATGCCCAAGAACCACATTCGGAAGGTCCATACGGGTAGGGTTGGGTCGTCCGTGTTCGGCACGGTGAGCCGGACTTCCTCGATAGGCGAGACGTCGTCCTCATCGTCTCCGGCGGAGAAAAATTTCTCCGGGTCAGGGATGGTGGTGGTGGTGATGGGGTGTGGTTTTTGTATATCTAGACTTCCCATGGTGGGAGAGAGCTTAAAAAACAATAATGAGAGAGTGGGGTTAGGGGGTGGTGTTTTTTTTAGGTACACTTTGCTCTTAGGTTCATTATATATATATACATAAATACGCATGCATTATTAGTTGACTTTACGTACACAAAAGTTGATATTCACATTGAGAGTATCATCATTTCATTTTGATAGACAACGGCCACCACTCTATGTACAAATCAAGACTTTCAACCAATTAGGTTTCCACTTTCCAGCAATACGCGGCGGTCGCCTATATTGCAAGATTTACTCCGTATTTATTTATTTTAGAAAAGATAAAAACTTTAGTCAAACAATAAATTTGTACATATGAATTTTTTATATATATGTTAATTTGATGGGCGTAACTTACAAAATTTATTTAGCTTGCATCTTTATAATATTAAGTTGTAATTTGTCGTTTTCAAATGTATATGAAAAAAGGTAAATTATTTTTCACACTTGAAGTTATTTTTCGGTAGTCAACAAACGTGTTTAGAGTAGAACTATAAATGAATCCAACTGCTCATGAACAGTTCAGACTTAGATTTGTTCTTTAAGCAAACAAGCAGAACTCGAGCTCAATTTCTAAACTCGTTTACTAAACAAGTCGAGTTCGATTGATGTTAAGCTCGGCTCGTGAACACGAGCTCATGTAGGCTCATTTATGTTCGTTTACATATGCTCATATAAAGTTCATATATGTTAGTGAACAATAATCTCGTTAAGGGCTCGCTTACATCTATTTTTTACTTTTTGTTAGAATTATGTAATTTTTGCAAGTATAAAATATTAAAATTTTAATGATTTACTGAACAAGCCTGAACAGATTTTGTATATTAGTTCACTTTAATTTCTTAAACGAGCTGAATCAAGCCCGAGCTTAATTTTTTGAGCTCATTACGAGCTTGAGCCGAGCTATAAACAAATTATCCGGCCCGAGCTCGAACAGCCTACAGCTTGGCTAGGTTCGGTTTGTTTGCTGCCCTATCTTGAAAGAAGTCAAAGTAATAAACCTTAAACAGTTAACCTGTGTATAATTTGTCCAAACCTCAGAGAAGGTTATTATAATTTATCCTAAATTTTTACTCAAACACCCTTAATATATATTTATACTATTATTAAATGTGCAAAGTGTTTCAGTATTTTAGTATTTATTTATTAATTGATATAAATTCTGTAAAAATCAAAATTACCTAATAAAATTAAAATTAATTCAAATTAACAAAAAATAAAAAAGAGTTTAATTCAAATTACAAAATCCCACATTGGTTTTAAGTAAAAAAAGATTATATGAAAGCCTTTTATAAAATTATAAAGCAAAAGAAATAATACTTACACCTTCTCAGTTTTTTAGATAAGATCAAGTGCAGTACTAAGTTTTTTTGGGTCGGCCTTTTGGCTAACCTTTCTTGGTCTTTTAGCTAAGATCAAGTGTAGTAGTACTTTCTCGGCCTTTGTGCAAAGAGTTTCAGTATTTATTTATTAATTGATATAAATTCTGTAAAACTCAAAATTACCTAAAAAAATTCAAATTAACAAAATATAAAAAGAATTTAATTCACAATAAAGAGCTCTCATTAACTATTATATCCGATATAAATTCTATGAAACTCAAAATTACCTAATAAAATTTAAATTAACAATATATAAAAAGAGTTTAATTCACAATAAAGAGCTCTCATTAATTATTATATCACACGATATGAATTCTATAAAACTCAAAATTACCTAATAACATTAAAATTAATTCAAATTAACAAAATAGAAAAAGAGTTTCTCGGCCTTTGTGCAAACAGTTTCAGTATTTATTTATTAATTGATATAGATTCTGTAAAACTCAAAATTACCTAATAAAATTCAAATTAATTCAAATTAACAAAATATAAAAAGAGTTTACCTAATAAATTCAAATTATACAACTACTCACAAAAAATATAATAAATTCAACTTATACTATACTACTCACACAAAATATAATAACAGTAATTACCTAATAAAATTCAAATTAACAAATTATATTATACTACTTTCATTAATTATTATATCCTCTATACTATTATTAAATGTGCAAAGTGTTTCAGTATTTCAGTATTAATTTATTTATTAATATAAAAAAAATATTTATTAATTGATATAAAACTCTAAAAATTAATTAATAAAATTTAAATTACATATTTATCTATTTGTTTCTAAAAAAAATTACCTAATAAAATAAATCACGATTTTCAAATTACTATATAAAACTCTAAAACTTAACTAATAAAATTCAAATTACCTATTTATCTATTTATTTCTAAAAAAAATTACTTAATAAAATAAATCATGACTTTCAAATTACTTCTAAAAAAAATTACCTAATAATATAAATCACGACTTTCAAATTACTTAATAAAATTCAAATTACAAATTCCCTAATAAATCTATATTATTATTAAAAGAGTTTCTATAAATTTAAATTACAAATTCCCTAATAAATCTATATTATTATTAAAAGAGTTTCTATAAATTTAAATTTCAAAGTCCCTAATAAATCTATATTACTATTAAAAGAGTTTAAATAAAACTATAACACAAAATTTATATTTATATCTATACTATTATTATAAAAAATAATGGCATTCATCTCTCACCCGGTTATGATTATATCTTTATCAGGAGATGATACATATTATTATTTAAGAAACTTATAAATAGAGGCATTGAGAATGGAGGAATGGTATAAAAATTAAGGATTTTAGAAATCTAAGAAGAAGATCAATGAGCACATTTAAAGTCGTCCCAACACTCAAGCTTTGAAGAGGAGGAGAGGGAGAGACTGTTTTGGGCTCCTCTTACCCAATCAAAGTTCATATTATGAGCATCAAGTTGTGACACGTGGCGATCATGTTACGAACCTCAAGACCATTAATTTTGATGATCATTCTATGTGGAAGATTTTTAAGGTCAAGAAATTGAACACGAAAGCTGCCATGATTGAGTGGTCAAGACTGGCCAATAGAATCTGGGACCAACGTGCGATTTATTCATAATAAATATATAAATACAGGTTGCCAATAGAATCTAGAACCAACGTGCAATTTATTCATAATAAATATATAAATACAGGTTGCCAATAGGATCTACGATCAACAAATATCATATGTGATAGAATTTTATAAAAAATAAAATAACTAATTTTTAGTAGAGTTTTATAGAAATTATTTTATTTTATTTAAATATATTATTGTCTAATTAGATTTTATTTTATTAAAACATTTATAATAAATAGATAATGTGATAGAGTTTTATAAAAAATAAAAAAGCTAATTTGTAGAAGATTTTATAAAAAAATCTTATTTTCTATAAATATATTATTATTTAATTGTGTTTTCTTTTGTTAAAAAAACTCATAATGAATAGATAAATAGGTAATATGTGTTAGAATTTTATAGAAAATCTTTTAAAAACTCTTTTTATACGAATTAATTAATTCACCACATATTATCCGCATACATTTTTTTTTTTTTTTTTTTTTAACATACATTTTTTTTTTTTTTTTTTTTAACATCCTCATGAGATAAGTTTTTTTTTTTTTAAGTAACAACATTAATATATTACATTAAATATTAAACGTAGTGCTATTGATAATTCAATTTCAAATATGTTAACATTTAATATATAAAATAAAATATTTTTTTTAAAACTCTACAACAAATTATCGTTTATTTTGAGTTTTTTTAATAAAAGGCAATCTAATTAGACAAGAATTATTATAAAAAAAAAATATTCATTAATTGATATAAAAAGAAATTTTAAAAGATTTACTCTATCATATATTACCTATTTACCACAAATTACATATTTTTTTTCAATAAAACTTTATCACACTAGATAAAGATATATTTAAAGAGTTTCTATAAAACCGTAACATAAATTACCTATTTATCAATTTATTATGAGTTTTTTTAATAAAAGAAAATATAATTATACGAGTATTAATAATATAAAAAAATATTTATTAATTGATATAAAAAAGAGATTTTAAAAGAGTTTCTATAAAGTTCTAACACAATTTACCTATTTATCTATTTATTATGAGTTTTTTAATAAAAGAAAATCTAATTAGACAAGAATTATTAATATAAAAAAATATATTTATTAATTGATTTTAAAAGAGTTTTTAAAACAGTTTCTATATAAAACTTTAACACATTACCTATTTATTTATTTATTATGAATTTTTAATAAAAGAAAATCTAATTAGACAATAATTATTAATATAAAATATATTTATTAATTAATATAAAAAATAAAATAATTTTTGTAAAATTCTACCACAAATTATCTTTTATTCTAATCTTTTTTAATAAAGGTTAATCCAACTAGAAAAAAATTATTAATATAAAAAATATATTTATTAATTGATATAAAAAGAGTTTTTAAAAAATTTACTCTAACACATATTACCTATTTATTATGAGTTGTTTTAGTAAAAGAAAATATAATTAAACAATAATATATTTAAAGAAAATAAAATGATTTCTATAAAATCTAGCACAAATTAGCGATTTTATTTTATATAAAACTCTATCACATAATATATTTATTATGAGTTTTTTAATAAAGTAAAATCTAATTGGATAAGAATATATTTAAAGAAAATAAAATAATTTCTATAAAACTCTACCACAAATTTGGTATTTTATTTTCTATAAAACGCTATCACAAATAACCTGTATTTATCTATTTATTATGAATATATTAACCAAAAATAAAATAATTTCTATAAAACTCTACCACAAATTACCTATTTTATTTTCTTTAAAACTCTATCACATATAACCTGTATTTGTATATTTATTATTAACTTTTTAATAAAAGAAAATCCAATTAGAAAATGATATAATTAAAGAAAATAAAATAAATTTCTAAAATTTTAACTAAAAAATAAATAAATAAATTTTTAAAAGAGTTTATATAAAACTCTAACACAAATTACCAATTTATCTATTTATTATGAGTTTTTTAATTAAAGAAAATCTAATTCAACAAGAATTATTAATAAAAAATAAAATAATTTAATT